GCCATGCTTCCTTTGGGATCTATCTGGTACCGGTTACATACTCCTCACCCGGTGCCAGTTATTTGCTGACTCACCTTCTGCCTGTGTTCGGTTCCACGTGTCAATATTTGACCACCTGTTATCAACCAATTTCCCCCCTAAATAGATATAACTATATTTTCTTACATAAAAATCATAAAACTTTTACTAACTTGCACAAAAATCATAGTGACCGAAAAATATAACTTTTCGGTAGTATTTTCTCATTCCACGATTTTTTATTTTTTTATTTTCAGTCTAATAAATAATAATCCAATTAAAATAGGAATGACTCAACCCGACCCAATAGCCATATATATAAATTAAAATAATACTAAAAGTGAATCCTTCAAAATCCGATACTCTATCTTTTATTTTTCATTTCAAGATTTTCATTCAAATCGATAGCATTTTTGTTTCAAGTGCCCTCTAATTATACCTTCTTTATTTGGTCAGAATCTCATGCATTTCAAACTAATATTTTTGTGGGGGAAGAATTCACTTTTAGTATTATTTTAATTTATGTATATGGGTATTGTCAGGTTGGGTTGGTTCATTCCTATTTTAAGAGAAAAAATAAAATTGAGCGGTCGACTGAAACTGATTGCATTCGCTAGCAAAAATTATATAGAATCGTATATATATATATATATATATATATATATATATATATATACACANTTTGTTTGAGCGGCTAAAAATATATATTTTTCCTATTTTAATTGAGTTATTATTTATTAAACTAAAAATAAAAAATAAAAAGACATGGAATAAGAAAATACTACTGAAAAATTATATTTTCCGGTCACTATAATTTTTATGTGAGTTAGTGAAAGATTTATGATTTTTGTGTGAGAAAACAGCGTTATATGACTTTAGTGAAAAAAGTCATAGTTATACGATCATCCGTGAAAATTACCCTAATATAGTGAGATAGTACTACTAAAATGTAACTTTGGACCAGTTAGTTCAATAAGATCAGAAACTGTTCTATGCATGAGAGTTGCTTAAATTTGATTTGTCTTTTTCAAATTTCTACCATTTTGATTTCAGAACATAATTAAGTACCCTTCCTTCCTTTTCAATTGTGTGGAAGAAAATTCTGATGAGTCATATCAGAATAAAGCAAGAACCCATATCGACCACTATTCCAAAGCTTAAGATGCCTTTATATGAAAAAAAAAAAAACTTATTAAAAATATGCATGAAATAAAGTTAGTCATATCTGCACTTGCCTTTAATACTGAAATTGGAATGGGCCATAAAAATATTACTCGTAGGCCATAAAACAGTGTTCTGGGTGTGAAATTATATAGTACTAAAAAAAGACAAGATAGATCTAAAATTACAGGAAAGAAAATTATTTTGAAGACCTACTATCTCTTGTAATCCATATCGATTTTGTGAAAAATAAGACACAATGAAAAAAAAAGATCTATGTAGGTGATACAAAGTAGTTGGTATTACGTTTTAGTCATATTAGTAAGTGGGCATTTGGACATAAGAATTGTAAAATTCCGGAAAAATATTAACTTGTTTTCAAGTAAAAATGGTATTTGAAAATTAGAGTTGTGTTTGGACATGAATATAGTTTTGGGTTGTTTTTTAATTTTTGTGAATGATCCGAGTGAAAATTTTGAAAAATAAATTTTTGGAGTTTTTCGAATTTTCGAAAAATTTTAAAATTTATCTTCAAGTGAAATTGAAAATTGTATGGCCAAACACTGATTTCGAAAAAAAGTGAAATTTTTTTTTTAAAAAAAGTGAAAAAAATTCATGGCCAAACAGGCTCTAAGTATACTTTAGGTCCATTGCTTTTTTAGAGCCTTCTAGTAATGTGAGAGATTTATATACTTGTAAAAAATAGGAAAAATTACATGGTGTAGCTAACTTATGCACTATATGTATCATTCGTAGATATACTTTCAGAAAATCACAATTCGTACCTATACTTGACTTTTATAATAAATCTACCTGTATTTGGCACAGATTGCATACTTCGCGTGAACGAATACAGCGAATATAGATGCCTGGAAACAAAACATTTGCTACGAATGGTAAATATTGAAACAATAGCTGCGAATTGTAATTAGCTATGAAACTGTAGTGCTTTATGAAATTTCCTCTAAAAATATATAGAGAACTTCCGGTGTTTTTTTATTTTTATTTTGTCTTATATAATATTGGATTTGTACGAGCTTAGAGGAGCAACAAAGAAGATTTATACAGCCGATCCGAGCTTATTTTGGATTGAGACATCGCTGTTAGTGTTATATCCATAGCCATAAACTGGTAAACAAAAGTTAGAAATTTCTTACTTTAACTTCTTGTAAAATGATGAACAAAAAATTAGGCAAGATAAGGATTCTATGAGCAATTCTTGGATAAACCTGGCTTTTCTTAACACCATATCAATTCTAGCAATCCATATTGGCCCTAAAGCATGAAACAGATGGTGAAAATGAACGTGGATTTTTAAAATCCGCCCCACCTAATAATTCTGGGATTTACATTTTCAACATGTCAAAAAAACTCTAGCAACTAAAATAAGGTTTACTACTTGTTGTTTTAGTTCTAAAGCAGATGACAAATAACTCTTCTTCTTTTTTTCTTGTTGCTCATCTATCAGACCTGAAAAGTTCAGAAGTTAATAACTCAACAATTTATTGTGGTAGGTGGGGTGACCAATGGAAGTGCAGATAGGTGTAAAAGCTAAAGTAAACTGAAAAAAAAGTTAAAAAATTGAACTGCAAGTGTAGATACAGGATAAAAGGCCAGTCGAAGAAAGTTTTAGTTCCTAAAGGGGAAATGGCATCTCATAATCACATCTTTAGAGTTATCATTACATTTTCTTTGATTTCATGGCTCATCTTTCAATCTCATGTGTCTTCACAGGACAAAGTTAACTTGTCCTTGTACTATGAATCCTTGTGTCCATATTGTGCTGACTTCATTGTGAACAAGTTAGCAAAGGTTCTTGAAACAGATCTTGCATCAATTGTGAATCTTAGGCTTGTACCTTGGGGTAATACTCAAATTGCACCCAACACCAGCTGGATTTGCCAGGTTCCATTTCTCTTTAAATTTCTCTAAAATAGCAACTTTCACTTGCACTCCTTTAATTTCCAAACTTCAGCTTATGAAAACTTTCATTTGTTTGGTTATTTTCCCTACTTTCTTAACCTAAGATTTGCTTAGGCCTTACTCTTGTTAAGCTTTAAGACCCATTCTAGCCAGTGTGTGAGACACCTTAAACCAAGGGGGTTCCCAAAACTTTCAGTACTTAATAATAAATCTAATTCAGAGTAATATTTTTCTAAAAACCAATATGCATATATACAACAGGCGGACACCTCTTGAGAAAAATACAAAGTATACATTAATTTGGGACAAGAAGTAAATTCTAGAAAGCCCCATAGCCCCAGACTCAAACTTGGGTACAAGTTCGATTGTGAGACTGACACTCATTCTAGCCAAAACTAATAGGCTCATGCTTCGACTTTGATTTTATAAGTGTTCCAATGAAGAACTCTATGCAAAGCCTTGCAACTAAATTCTGTCCTGTTCTATGTCTTGTTAGGTCTTGCCTTTTTAAAGATCATTCTTGTCTGCATTTCAATTTGATGATTAAACTAACATGCAGCATGGACCAGCGGAGTGTCTGCTAAACACAGTGGAAGCTTGTGCTATCAAGGTTTGGTCAAATCTGGTAACCCCTCTGACACATACTATAAAATAAAGCGTGAAATAAAAAAATTTGATGTGTGAAAATAGTCAGCATTATACGAGTATAGGAACAATAGGTTGTTACATATTCAGTTAATAACTCAAAGTTTACTAATTCCACAAGTTGTTGAATATGATACAGGACACACATTTCAAGTTTATAAATTGTGTAGAACAATTGCATCTGGAAAACAGGCACTGCTCGTGGCAATCTTGTTTTTCTGCAACTGGTTTGAGCCAAACTCCAATCAAGAATTGCTATAACAATGGGCTTGGATATCGGGTAATAACAAAAGTTTTAGTCGTCTGTCGGTCAAATGTTGATCAAGCTGTAGACCACGGCACAATTCTCATTATTATTGATCATTCGAAAGTCATACAACCAAGAAATTTTATTCTGTTGTTTTAATATCTACTAAAGTAGAAATTAATAATTTCTTAATGTATATGAACTCACAGCTAGAGAAAGCATATGCAGATGAAACTGCAAGCCTGAACCCCAATCACAGGTTTGTACCATGGGTGCTAGTAAATAACCAGCCTCTTCAAGAAGTTAGTACCTCAATCTCTCTGTGTTTCGTTTCCATTCGTTGTATTGACTACGAGCAACATGGATGAAGATATTCTACTAATTCTGGCTGCAGGATTACCAGAATTTTATAGCATACATCTGCAGAGCTTATAGAGGGCGCAATATACCACAAGCTTGCAAAAACAAAGGACTTGAGATCAATAAAACAAACGTGCCAGATAGTGGTCCTCGAGTCTGCTTTAGAGGATAACCAATAGCTGAATTATGTAAAGAGTTGCAGTGTTTTAGAGTGTGGAGTAGCAAGTTGTTTCTTGACTGCACAAATTGTACCAACTTTTAATGAGCTTTGTATTTTTCAAGCAACGATGTAACAAGTGTTTATACGAATTGAATAAATGGACTTCTATAACCGTATTACTAATATTTGCAAGAGTACTACTCGAGGTTTTCTTGATGACTTTTGCCTAAAAATCGGTTACGGAAAATGATTAATATTATTGAATTCTTTTCAGCGAGGTGATGGAAGTGTAGGAGATAATTTAGAATAAAAAGACGACAAAGAAAGCAAACTACCTTTTACAACTAGCTGCCCATATCTTTTCACAACACATTACTACATTCAATATTGCAGTAATTGAAACACAAGAGGGGAGAGAAGAATTGTGTAAAAGAATACTTAGGTGACTAGTTTTAATATTAGTCGACTCTTTTTCCTGGAGACATTAGGTTAAAGCAAAATTACAATAACGAATATTTATGCAAAAAGAAATAAATGAGACACAGAGTTTTATACTAGTTCATCTACCAGTGTGGTACCTACATCTAGTTCCTTTGGGTCACAAGGGTTCTTTTAGTTCTTCAAAGATAATTTGTTACATCAGTCGTGGTTTTCTTTCATTCACCACAAACGATGTACAGTTGCATATTTCCCAAGTTCATGACACAACCTCTTGACTGTTTTCTACTTCTATCTTTTATGACACTAGCAAACTCAAGAATATAGTGTTTTAACTAAGAACTAGAAAGATGTAGAGAGCTTATGTATTGAAGTTGCGTGTGTTCTCTCCTTTTCTAGGTTCTTCATATAGGCCGGTCTTGAGTTATTTCAGTCACCAAAATCTTCATTGTTTGCAAGCGAGATTGAAAAATATCCATTGGTTGAGGCAAGACATTTTTAAGAGATTTGACCCAAGGGATGCCTCTGAATTCAGTCAATAGATGTGTTTGTCATATCTTCACGAGGGATTTTCGGACAGTTAGTTGATTGAGAGTTGATCATTCGATCTTTTTCCGTTAGTAAATGCATCTTTCTTCTGCTGAGTTGTCTGATTAATGCACTTTTGATTGCCCTATGATCTCAGATCTTGTACATTAGTTTGCTCTTCTTCTTGTCTTGATTTCTTAATCTAGACGGACGAGTTGCATCACTTGCATTTCTTTCCTTTTTATTTTCCTGCACAGATTTGAATGAGATGAGTATTTCTATTATTGAGAGTGTCATCATTGAAACTCAAAGTGTAACAATCTCTCCTTTTTTTATGATGACAACCAAAAAGAGTAATAATATAGATGATACTTCCCTGTAGGTTTGGTGCTTCCCTCGTGTTGTTGAATTTGTGCTTCCCTAACTTTTTGCCTTTTTCTTTTCTCTCCCCTTTCACATAAATCAAAAATGAAAGAACAATGCAAGAATAGGAAAAACAATGCAAGAATGGGCAAAACAAATACCACATATACATATATGCTAATAATAGTAGTTTTATGCCAAAAAAGGCATAATAGTAACTAAGTTGATACAGACCAAGCGAAAAACTAATAAAAGTAGTAGCAAAAATAAGATTTTATTAGACAAAATACACAATAGGCCTTAGTTTTTCCCCATAAAGTACTTCAGGGTGTTGATCACTTTGCTACAAAAAGAGTCATAGGTGGTCTCAACATCCTTAGTGAGCTTGTCCACTTTGTCAGTCATGTTCTTGAATGCCTTGATCCCGTGCTTTTTGGTAGCTTCAAAGTCCATCATGAGCTTAGCCATATATGTATATGTTTTCTTTGTAATTTCTATTATTTTGTCCATTTGCTCCTTCATAGTCGTGAGCATGCTCTGTAGGCCTTCAAACCCTTGATGAATTTATTATAGGTTGCTAGGATCAGTCGACTAAATCTCTGCCGGCTCAGAGGGTGGTTCAGCATGTGCTGGTGTCTCTGCTGCCTTAACTCACCTTACCCATACATCCTCAACCAGAGTGTAGCCATTATAACAAAGGGTGTCTTATCATATGTACTAGAGATAATCTTAGGTAAAAAACGTGCCAAATTTACCTTCGTCACTTCAAGAATGTGCGAAATAAGCAAACCATAGGGCATACATGAGGCAGAGGATGAGACCTCTCTAATACTTTCTAGCATGTATTGACGAGTCCACACAAACCAGTTAAGTCTATTATTTTTCACAAGATAATACAGAATAAAGATGTCACAGGTGGTCAAAGAGCTATAAGAACTAGTTCTTGGTAAAAGAGTAGTGGCAATCATGTGAGCCAACAAACGATGTTAAAATTTTAAACTTTTATGGCCAATATAGGGAGGGGGGAGGTTCTAAGACAACACAAGTTTTGCCTCTTCTAGAGAGACTTTAAAGTCTTTTGGTCAGGAGTTTCGAACAAACACATCATAACTATAATATTTTACAGAATTATTTTTCTCAAAGTGATAAGCATCAAGCACAATATGAGTACCCAAAACCATTGATTCTAAGTTGTCTTTATTATTCACAAACAGACTTGTATAGAACATTTTCACAGGTTCTTCATACACAGTGTTTCCAATAGTGTCAAATAGAGGAGATAAACGTTGAAAGTCAAAAATTGAGACAACATCACAATGAATATCCTTCATAAGAGAGAGACTTACCATACAACCATATGCCATGGACTTTGATTTGTAAGATTCAAACTTTGATCTCCGGTGGTCCATAGAAGATTATCTTGTCTTCAAGCCCAAAATCATTACTCTCCAATACTCCCTTTTTGCATACAGACCTTTTTGGGGTTTGGTCCACGGGTCTTTTACCAGCTCTTTTCTGGCTCAAAACTTGATCTTCAGAGGAGTTACTGCTTCCATTGTCGGTTTTGAGAGGATCAGAGTCAAAGGATGATTTTAGATCAACTATTTCTTCAGGGGTTTGGTTCTTTTAGAAACAACGGCTACGACGTTTGGAAGAGGAGAAGGTTTTAGCTTTAGCCATAGTAGATGAGTGTCTAAGAGATGGTGATGAAGTGATGAAGAGTGTTAGAGGGATAATTAAAAAGGCTACTAGAGAGTATGAAGGGTTTTCTCGATTGGAGTAAAAAGGTAGAAAAAAGGAGTGAAGTGACTGTTCTAAGGAGTCTCTTCGGCGGTTTACATTGCATATAATTATGCAAATCATGTAATGCAATTAATGGATGCTATCAAACTATCATACAATGTATAAGGAAACACAATATTTTTGCAAGAGTAGAAAGATTCTAGTAAATAAAAAAAATCTCTAAGGAGCACGCATAATGCCAATTTGATTGCGTAAAGAGCAAAAACTTTCTTTTAGAAGGGGTTTTATAAAAATATCAACAAGTTAAAACTCCATATTAATAAATTCTAGTGCTATGTCACCTGTAGTAACATGATCACGAATAAAATGATGCTTAATTTCTATATGCTTGGTCCTAGAGTGATGCATAAAAATTTTCGACAGACAAATAGCATTGGTATTATCATATAAAATAGGAGTGAAAATCAAATGAAGATCATAATCTAAAAGTTGATGCATAATATATAGAATCTGAGTGCAAAAACTTCCAACTGCAAGATATTCAGCTTCAGGAGTTGACAATACAACACAATTTTATTTCTTGCTATGCCAAGAAATTAAAGCATTTCCCAATAATTGACATGTCCCACTAATTCAAAAGTGTTGATAAGATATCTAATGATATGTTTTACCACAGTAAGGTGTGATTCCTCAGAAGCTGACTGAAACCTTGTACATTTGCATACACTAAATATTATATTTGGTCGACTGGCGGTAAGGTACAAGAGAGATACAATCATTCCTCTATACATAGTTTTGTTAACACTTTTTCCATCACTGTCCTGTTCAAGAGCCGTTGGTGGGTTCATAGGTGTTCCACTAGAATTTGCATTTTCCATTCTAAACTTTTTTATAAGTTCTTTTGTGTGTTTGGTTTGTCTAATGAAGATTTCTTTGGATTATTGTTTGATTTGCAATGAAAACAAGAAAGTTAATTCTCCCATCATGCTCATTTCAAATTATCCTTTCATAATACTTGAAAACCCTTCACACAAAGCAGGATTAGAACTTTCAAAGATAATATCATCCACATAAATTTAAATAATAAGATTTTCAGAGTTAGATCGTCTAATAAACAAAGTTGTCGTTGAAAACCATGGGCTAACAAGATAGAACTTAGTCTATTATACCAGGCTTTGGGAGCTTGTTTGAGATTGTACAAGGCTTTTGATAACTTGAAGACACGATTAGGAAGTCGCTATTGACAAACACTGGAGGTTATTTTACAAATACTTATTCTGAGATGTATCCATTTAGGAAAGCACTTTTAATATCCATCTGAAATAACCTGAAACCTTTGTGAGCTGCATAAGCAAGAAGTATACGAAATAGACTCTAACCTTGCTACATGAGCGAACGTGTGACAACTCAATAGGTCATTTTGAGTACTAGCCTTTATTTCTTTATTATGAGACATCTCAAAGCTCCATTTGATGTTATATGACTTGCGTGCTTGGTCGGTGTTGCTTTTCGGAAAGATATTATGTGAAATTTTGAAGAAACCATGATTTTTGACTTAAAATGAGGCTTGAGCTGACCACAGTCAACATTCTTAGTAAACTGACATCAGTGATTTAACGATTCCGATAGGTTCGTATGATATTTTTGGACTTGTACGCATATTTATTTGGGGTCCCGAGCGACCCGAACGTGTTTCAGCACTTTATCGGGGCCAGGTTTCCCTTTACCGGGTTTTTCCCTTGGCAAATAGAACGGAAACAGAAAGCGATATATCCGCTTCTATTATCCACTCTTAGGTTGCAGTTGCTCTTTGAGTTCTCTCTTTCTTTATTTATGGGTCTTCCTAGGCCGTTAGATCAAGATAAGAAAGATAAGAATGGTATTAGATAGATATCTTCTTCTTTACTAAGGGAATAGGTATGGGGCGCCCTTACTTTTTGAATGGGTTACCTTAGGCATTACTAACTAATCCACTATGTCCGCTATCAAATAGCCCAGACAAGATAGAAAGTCTCTATTATTGTGAGGCTTCCCTTCCCTTAATCTAAGGGTTTAAAAATTTGGGTTTTGATAATCGATTCTTGATATTTGATGTTATTTTGATTATTGAGTTAGTGATCAAGTTTGTATGATATTATTATGCTTGGTTGCATGTTCATATAGGAGCCCGAGGGGCTTGGGTGAGTTTCGGGTGTGTTTTGGATGATATTGGGACTGCTGGTGCAAGTCTGATGCTGGTTTAAGTTGTAGGTCTCGTATTTGCGAGAACCTTATCGCAATTGCGAGCATCGAATTTGCGATGTCAGGCTTTCAAATGAAAAGAGGGAGCTAGGGACTGGGTTTCGCTTTTGCGAGAAATCCTTCACAATTGCGGACTGAGTTTGGTCCGCATTTGCGACCATTTTGTCGCTTGTGAGATGACAAGGATTTTCGGACAACTTTGGAAATGTGAACCAGAGTTTGCAATTGTGAACAAGAGTTTTGCAAATGCGACGTATGCTGCTGGGTAAAAGTTGGAAAAAACGGGACTCAACTAATTTTACATTAATTTTCAACTCTAGACTCCATAGAGACGATTTCTTGAGAGCTTTATCTTCCCAAATTCATTGGTAAACATATATAACTAGTTTTCAATCAATTTTAACTACTTTTCATTAATTTTTAACATCAAATTTATGAAATTTAAGGTAGAAATTAGGAGTTTTGGGTAGAATTTAGGAATTTTGAAAAAAATAAGATTTAGACCTCAAAATGAGGTCGACTTTCGAAACAAATCACATAATCGGGCTTGGGGTGAATGAAAAATCGGGATTTGGTTTGAATCTCAATTTCGACCAAGCAAGCCCGTGGTTGATTTTTTCAAATATGATCAAAATTGAACCTTTTTTATTTGTGGGTAGTTTCTAAAGCTTGTTTTGTATTTTTTGAACAATATTTGACTAGATTCAGTTATTTTGGAGGCTTGTTCCAAAGGAAAAGCCGTGGTTGATTGTTGATCTGATTTCAAAAAGATGTAAGTATCGTGGTTAACCTTGATTTGAGAAAAATATGACTTAATTGGTCTATTTGCTAAGTGATCTATGTGTGAGAACAAAGTATATGCACGGTGACGAGTATATATACATTGTTATGGGTTAAGCATGCAGGGTGGGCTATTAACCGTGCTTTTTAACTATATCATGCCTTATTTTACTCCGTGTTACTATTCATGTTATGCCTTCATTGTTGCTTATCTTTATTTGTTAAATACATGTCTTCCTTGCTACATGTTTCATGCGTCTATATTTTTACTTGTCCGATTTTACTTGGTCTATGCCTTTAATTGTTTATGTGCCTTCGCTTTCTTCTATTTCCTTTCGGTTTGTTATGTTGGTTTGCCTTAGAGTATTTACTTGTTTTGATTTCTTTCTCATAAGCTATGACATAGTTGGTTGTAGTATTTCTATAGATATATGGGATTGGGTTGCGCGTTGCAACAGATATTGATATGATATATGGGATCGGGTTGCACGCCGCAATGATATTAATGTGATATTTGGGATTGGGTTGCATGCTGAAACAGATATTTATATTGTATTTGGGACCGAGTTGCACTCTGCAAAAAATATTGATATTGTATTTTGAATTGGGTTGCACGTCGCAACGGATATTGATATTGTATTTTGAATTGGGTTGCACGTCGCAACGGATATTGATATTGTATATGGGATCGGGTTGCACGCCATAATGATATTGGTATTTATAAATGTGTGGATTGGGTTGCATACCGCAACAAAGAAGATATCTATCATGATTGTTCTTTGTTGTTGATTCTGTATCCATGTTGTATTGTGAATTTTGGCGTTGGTGATATTCTGGGGCCCTCTGTAATGTATTGCATGATCTGGTTTTAATGTTAATCATTGTTTCTCTATTTTGTTATTGTTTTTACTTATACTCATACATGTCTATAGTGAGTGCCTTGCTATATCCTCGTCTTTACTTCGTCGAGGTTAGACTCGGCACTTACAGAGTACATGGGGTTGGTTGTACTCATACTACACTTCTTCACTTCTTGTGGAGATTCTAGTGTTGGTCTCAGCGGCTACACACAGCATCACAGTATATTTATCGCCACCAAGGCCAACATGCTTCTCCTTGTGTGTCTCTAGACTATGGATAATGGCAACTAGTCCATAGACGGACACAACAAGTAACTGGCTCTTTCTACGCAATCACTTTGTTGGACTTGTTTCTTTACTCTTCAAGGGCAACAACATAGGAGAATGTCTACCCTTTGTCATCTCCATGTCCAACCGAATCTTCGGCTTTGATACTTGTCTACTAAGAAGAGAACACACTAAAACAATACTAAGAAAATGGCACAACAGAATAAACACTTAGTCAAAGTCTTCCCAATCTATTTGAACCAAGAGGAACAAGCAAAACTATAGGTCACGAGTTCGAGCCGTGAAAGCAACCACTAATGCTTGTATTAGGGTAGTTTGTCTACATTGCACCCATTAGGGTGCGGCCCTTCCCCCGACCCTGCGTGAATGCGGGGATACTTTGTGCACCAGGCTGCCCTTGGGAACAAGCAAAACTCAAATATGTGAACGGCAAGTATAATAAACAACAAAATAAATATGGAAAAGGTACAACAACCTATCACACGAGAACCAATCGCACGGGACACCAAAAAATATGTGATAAAACTTATAACATCGAAAAGTACAAACCAACAAATCTCCTGTCCATGAAAAGTTCCACTATATCAATAGATACTTACAAAATACTCCAAGATGGTCGACATCATACTCCAAGTTGGTCAACATCAGTGCCAAACAAAAAGAAATAATAACAATAACAAAACGGATCTCCAAATACAATCGACTGCTCAAAATTAGCAAATACTCTTAAGTGAAGAATGGGAAAAAATCAACAACTTGATCTAAGATACTCCCAGTGAATATGTCAGCTTGATCTAATAGTGAATGAATCGAGAAATGCAATTACAGGCAAGTTGATTGCATGGAAATTCTGCAGCAAGAGAAGAAACTATTTTTCTACACTCTTTACTTGATCCAACGATGAATGAATTGAGAAACGCAATTACAACCAAGTGGATTGCATGAAAATTCTG